ATGCTGCCAGGTGTATCAAAATGTAGTACAGACTGTTAACATACACCATATAATACTTGAGCAAACAACTGTGTACCAGCCTATGTTTTTTCTTGTCATTTCAGAATATACTTGTGGTGGCTTGAATGAGAAAAGTACCCCTTAGGCTCATATACTTGAACATGTGGTCACCTTGTTTAGGAGGACTGTGGGACCTTTGGGAGATGGAGCCTTGCTGGAGAACCTACATCACTGGGGGTGGGCTGTAAGAACCTCTCCCCACTTCCGGTTCTTTCTCTCTGGTTTGTGTTGCAGTTGAAGATAAAATGGGTCGGCTTCCTGCTCCAGCTTCCTGACACCGTGTCTCACCTCCATTCTGGAGTCTCCCTCTGGGACTGTGAGCTCAGATAAACTCTTCCATAAGTTACCTTTAGTCGTGATACCTTATCACAGTAACAAGGAAGCAAAAAAAAAAAAAAAAAAAAAAAAAAAAAAAAAAAGAAAAAAAAAAAAAAAAAAAAAAAAAAAAAAAGCTAGAATTTAGCATCAACAGATTATACTCCAGAGACAACCATATATTTCTTGGGGTTTGGAGAATGTTGGCTTCTGAAAGTGCTGGAGATTGAACCTGGGGCCTTGAACATGCCAAGCAAACTCTGCCACTGAACAATATCCCAAGCCATCATCTTAGGTTTGGCACATTTCTTGTGCTTAATCTCATTTTGTTTCTTCATTGTGGATTGAGAAGATAGGCCCTGCCACATGCATATGCCATGAAACCTGGGTGTTCAGTGGGCTAAAGCATCTATAAAGTATGTAAGCACTCAATATGATGTCTGCTCAATGGCACATTTCTTTAGCTGTATCCCCACTGTTATAATACATGTCTCTGTATCTTAACAAGACAGATCAGAAGGGTCTGGGTCCCCAATGCATCAAAAACAATCTCTGGCCAGGTGGTTAGTAGCATACACCTTTAATCCCAGTACTCAGAGGCAGACAGAGCTCTGTGAGTTCCAGGCCAGCCTGGTCTACAGAGAGAGTTCCAGGACATCCAGGACTGTTATATAAAGAAACCCTGTCTTAAGAAAAACAAAACAAACAACGAACAATCACTGAGACAGCTCCAGACTGCACCTGTTGGATTAACCACACCCATTTTGGCCATGTAAGGTGAGTTCTGTCACACTGTCGCATACAGCAACACTGATGGAGGTGAGGTTGAAGAGGAGAGATGGTCCTTCCACAAATCTCAAGTGTCTTTCATAGGCCTGGAGCTGCCTGGAGCTGAGAGAGCAAACATCCCAGAGGCAGTGCCTGCCCTCATGGGTCTCAGAGACCAGCAAAGATGAACAAGGAAACAAAATCAATTAGTTTCTAATGATCGTTGCTTCAAAGGAGATAAATGAGGACTTGGGAAGAACAACTATGGGAGACATGATCTATGGCCAACGGATAGTCCTGGAGCAAAGGCTTGTAAGGGAATGTTAAAGGGAAGATTTCCAGAGAGGAGAGGCAGCACATGAAAGATCTCTAGTGGGAGACCTGAAGGGAGCTGTGAGGGACAAAAACAGGTCATGTGACCTTGGGGTTTTTTAAGCATTGTTTATTGAAATGTTGTTTGTTGTTGTTCTTTTTGTTTGTTTTGGTTGGTTGGTGTTTTTTTTGTTTGTTTGAGTTTTTTTTTTTTTTTTTTTTGGTTTTGTTTTGTTTTTTGAGAATGAGGCTGTTGAAGACTACATCCATATAAGCCCAGAGACAGAGGCAAGCTGATCTCTGAAAGTTCATGATGAGGGATGTCCTTCTGTGTATATGTTTCTCTTATTGGTTGATGAATGAAACACTGTTTGGCCAGTAGAAGCAGGAAGATAGGTGTGGCTAGGAAACGAGGAGAATTCTGGGAAAGGTAGGCAGAGGGAGACTGCAAGGATATGCATGTAGAGACTGAGAAGATAGGATGACAGGTGTTCTCTGGTAAGATAAGGCCATGTAGAAATACATAGATTAGTAGTTATAGGGTAATATTTAAGACAGAGTTAGCCAGTAAGAAGCCCTAGCCATCAGCCAACAGTTTTATAATTAATATAGCGTCCGTGTGTTTATTTGGGGCTGAAAGGTGGCGGAACCTGGTGGGACAAGAAACTCCAGCATCAAGTTAGAGACCGACCTGGTCTACACAATGAGTCCCAGGGCAGCCAGAACTACATAGTGAGACCCAGTCTCACAACAAACAATAAAAGACCAGCTCTACCCATAATTCACAGTTTCTGTGAGGCTCCTCCTGCCAACCTGGTTGTGACAACAGGCTACTGATGTCTTCTTCCAGGAGACTGGGTGCAACGCAGCTTCAGGTTTGTGGCACGTGAGGAATTATGGGTCCTAAGGGCTAGTCACACGCTGTAATATGTACTATTGTCTCTCAGTCTGAGTCCTCTCATCAGAAATAAGATCATGAACAGTTCTGCCTAAAATGCCTAAGAGGAAGCAATGTGTTGAGTCCCATAATGCACTGGGAACTGTGCTTGGCCCATAGTAGGTCCAAGAAAAGAATTTAAGACCACATCACTAAAAAACCTATCAGCCCAGTCCTCCTCCCTCCAGGGCAATGCTGCTCCACCCCAGAAATGCTGGTTAATTGTGAAGATGAAATCCTAATACCTGCATGATAAACAAGTCTCCACAGACTCTGTTAGAGATGGCCCGCTTGGACAAAGGGGGACATAAGTTTCAGACTTACACAAACTAAGTTATGTGTGGCTCTGAAACAGCTTCCCTTATCTTAAAAATGAGCTCATTGAGCCAGGTGTGACAGTTCAGAAAGGGACTAAAGGCAGGAGGATTGCCATTGGCTCAAGGCCAATCAGAACCACACTGATGGTCCAGGCCAGCTTGAACTACAGTGTGATGAGATTCAGCCTCAAAAAAAATTTTTATTTAAAAATGAGTTTATTAATACCAGTCATGTACCCTCTCATGAGGATAAAATGAAAATATTTGTGTAGAGGGCATAAAAGTTATAACCACACTTCAGAGTGCAGGATTAGAGCTCATTTTATTTATCTATAGCTTATATTAATATAGCCCATGACCCCGTATTTCCACTAACAGAAAACTTCAGGTTGGAAACCCCAGCTCGATTAACCCACTTCAAGCTTTAAACATAAAAACAACTCAGATTCTTGTGGAAATTTTAACTGGAATGTTCTGCCCTCCTCTACCAGCTCTTTCCCTGCAGATAGAAGATAACCCGGCTTCTTCAGGGTTAAGTGGCCTGACTTCTCTGGGGCCAACGTGCCATCATGTTACAGGCTGTGTAGCCCTGACCTTGTCTCTCCCGTGCAGAATCCATCACAACCACCTAAAACTCCAACCCCAAAGCATCTGACACCTCTGGCATCTGTGGGAAGTTGCCCATACACACACTCACACTCACCCACACACACACACAGTCACGCATACACATATACTCACACACACACACACACAGTCACACATACACATATACTCACACACACACACACACACACACAGTCACGCATACACATACACATACACACACATATATACATACATACACACTCACACACACACACATACAGTCACACATACACATACACATACATACACACATACACACACATACACACACATACACACATACACACAAACATATATACATACATACACACACATACACACTCACACACACACAGTCACACATACACACACATACACACACAAACACATATATACATACATACACACTCACACACACACACACATACACACATACACACAAACATATATACATACATACACACACATACACACTCACACACACACATATACACACATACACATTCACACATTCACACACTTTTTTTCTTTTGCTCAGAATTCTGAATAGCTGCAGCTTACAGCTGCCTCTAACATCAGCCCAATCCCCTTAGTGATTTCCCACTTAGGCATCAGAGTGAATACAGGCCTTGTCTAGGTTCAAAATAGTGAATAGAGTTTGCTCATCTAAAATCACACCCTTTCATCAAGGGTTTCTCTTTTTGTAGGCTGTAGAAGGAGCTTCTTCCTACATCTTTCTGCATTCATCCTTCTCTGTGTTGCTCAGGAACTGGCTTATAGGCATCCAGAATCCTACATGAGCACTCATGCGTACACACACACACACACACACACACACACACTCATGCATGTGTGCTATCATAGAGCCTGACTTTTGCAACCAAAAGTCTTGTTCTCACACTAATATTTCTGCCTGAGACTTTCACACGTATTTCCAGCCTTCATTCGATTTCTTGCTTCTAGAACATAACAGCAGGCCCCCTCTCCCTGCTCCTCAATGGTAGGTGCTAGGGAACACACCTCACTGGGATCCCAAAATGATGGCCCTCCTCACTCGCTCAGAGAAAGTCCTATTCAGCACATGTCTAACCTAGAGTAACTGCTTGAAGGTCACAACCCAAGGACTTGTTCAGATTCAGACATGGGGTAAGTGCAACCCTTTGAGGAATAACCTTGAATGCCCACCACTCCATCCCCACTAGGTACAGGGAAAGGACATTCTTCTCCCTCAAGGGGACAGAAATTTCACCATTGGCAATTGTGTTGTTTAAATCAAGCCTGGTTCCCCTCCGGATTACATTAAAACATCAAAAGCAGCTGGGACAATGTACATTTTGGTTGTTCCTGGGAATGGGGAGCAAAGAACTGGAATAGCAGAGCTTAGGTCTCATGTTTTCCTGAGACAGCAGTGGGGTGCTGGAGGAGTGTCCTGGACATGTCAAGCTGCCCTGAGGGGTGCCTAAGCAGACTCTGTCCCTTCTCGACACTGAGCAGCACAAAGAGGTGGCAGCCAACACTAGAGGCAATAGGCTGTTCAAACTTGCTTCTATTTTCAAAGGGCCCAACAAGGGAGTGGGGAGGGGATGCTTGACTTGGGATACAAGAGGAGTCCCAGGCCTTGGGGAAAGGGGTGAAGCCCAACTGCTCTGGCCTGAGTAGTGTGGCTAATAGGGGTGATTCATGGTGTGTTTCATGATGGTCCGAATAGCCATCCATGTCTCCTCGGCTGTGGGAACGATCTGCGAAGCTGGCAACAGGAAGCCGTATTGTCCAGTGTCCCGGAGCTCGAAGCTGAAGGCATACTTGATGCCAGTGTCATAAGCCCAATCCACCGTGATCCCGCTGGCTGCATCTAAAAAGAAAAGGGCCAAAAAGTGCCCGGGAAAGAAGGAGGAGATGTGGCCACAGGCTATAGAAGAATCCTGAGTGGAAAGTGGGCACTGCAGGCCACCTGGGCCTGATCACATCGAACTTCCTGATTCAGACCTCATCCTGGGCCCTACCCCACCCACCCCCAACCAGTTTTTCCCCTTGCAGAAATAGGCCAACAGACTGAGAACCTTTCCCCTCAGGGAACTTTGTAATAAGCCAGATAACCAGGATCTGTGCACTGATGCTGCAGACAAACCAGCTGCCCAGATACCACCATCCACCCAGCCCAGCTTGGTCAGTGGTACTGCTCTAGCTGCACCTGCCCTGCCCCAGGCAGATATGGCTCACTCACAGAGGGTGGTACTGATGCTGCCAAAAGTGTACTGGATCCCGTGCACCTTATTCAGAGCCTTCACTGCATCCTTGGCAAGATTGAACTGCAAATGACAGCCAGAGAGTAAGAGGCAGGGGCTCCCCAATTCCTGCATGCAAAGTGTGGCTTTGGGAGCCCTAGAAGTTGACCGTGTAGCTAGTGCAATACCTCCAGCTTTGAACTTGATCACACATGAGAACAAACCTCCTGATTCTTCCTAATCTGGGGTCTCCCTATCATTGGTCCAGACCTTCATATTGGGAGTTAAAGTCTGAAGCCCCTGCAGATGCACCAGAGATGGACTTTCCTAGAGAGAGACCTTCTGCTTTCCCATGCTCTAAACAGCCATCTTACCAGCTCATAGTAGTTTGGCACAGGTTCCAGAGAGTGGCCATAAGGATACATGACCATTTGAGAGTAGCTGTGGATGGATATCAGCGCTTTGAAGTTCCCATGGTTTGTGATGAATTCTACAATGGCAGCTACCTCTGGCTCCGACTCAGGTGCAGGCCCTCGATAAGTCTCTGAGCAGGGGTTTTTATTAGAACCATTTCCTGAAAGTAAAATAAAACCACCGAAAGGGTCAGAAGACCCAGGAGTGGCAAAGCAGTGTTCACAAAACACGTTTACGTCTTGCAAGTTCCTTTTGCAAGTTGTTCGAAGTCATGTGACTGCTCCTGGCCAATGAAAAGGTAAGCAGAAATGATTCGTCCGTTCTGTTTTGAGGCTGTTAAGGAGAAAGGTGGCCAGACCTGGTAGCACACGCCTTTAATTTCAGCATGTGGGAGGCAGAGGCAGACAGTGCTCTGTGAGTTCGAGGCCAGCCTGATCTTCAGAGCGAGTCCTGGAAAACAGCCAGGGCTACATAGAGAGATCCCAGCTCAGGGGGAGGGGGATGATAACTCCACATTCTCTTCTGTGTGACTGAAGCAAGACCTGGCCAGGAGCAACATGATGGGTTCCTCTGTCACCACTGGAAGAGAGATGCCAATGAGAGTTGCTGCCACCTGGGACTTTGTGTGCAAACATAAACTCTGGATTAAGTAGTGTTGTTAACTGTTGTATTCCTTCACCTTATACATCAGGATGAAGAATGTAGCCACACCATGACTCAGCAACTCCATGGGTTTGCTGGGAGCTCCTATGGCTCATCCTGCGGACTAAGTCCACACCTCAATGGTCCATTGGAGAGGCAGACCTGCCTGGGAAGGTGCACCCTGAAGCAACCCCAGCCCTCTGCCCCAATTCCAGCCTCCCCAGGAGCAGCAGCCCTTTGGTTGGCTCTTGTAGGGTTCATGCTAGTCAGGGGCTCAAACTCAGTATCTGCTGAAGCTTGGTCCCCAGCCACAGCAGTAGAAGCCCCAGGGTCTTGTGAACCAGGGACAGACAAAATGGATCCCCAGTGCTGCCTGAGGCTGACCTGAGAATCACAGAGGAATCACAAGAGAGGCTTCTGAGAATTTTTCTCAGGGAGCATACTTGGAGGAAAGGGCAAAGAGTCGACGAGTGTGTGTGTGTGTGTGTGTGTGTGTGTGTGTTCATGCGTGCGTGCCTGTGTGCGTGCATGTGGATGTAAGTGTGGTTGGTAGAGTACTCTGTAATTCAGCTACACACCCAGGCCCGAGCTTCCATTTTTTGGCATGTTGAGTTTGTTGCTTCTCTTAGGACTTAGGTGCCTCGCCTACTCATTTCATTCGCCCAGAGCCATGTCAATAGTGCTGGACAGGGCTGTGGGTTAGCAACTCATGGAAGGAAACTTCCTACTCCCATCGCCCGTTCTACCTCCCAGGAAATGGCTGCATCCAACATCCAAACCCTTCTCAGAGACCAGGGATCTCCTCCAACTTCTGAAGCTTCTAGAAGGCACCAGAACAGCCTTTTTGTCCCCGGGGCCAACATGAGGCTACTGCAAACTGTTCCTCCCCAGGAGTTCAGGTGAGGGCGGCACAGAGCTCTGAGGGATGATTTCCAGACTACCTCTGATACAACTAAGACAATATGAAAAGCATAAATAAAATCTTCCTGCCTGAGTCTCTTGTTATTCCTGGCCAGAGGCAGCCCAGAGGCTGTTCTGTCAACAAAGAGCACATCCCCGCTTGGTTGGGTGGTCCTTGCCTAAGGTTGGGGACCCTGGATAGAAGGGAGAGAGCAGTCTCCCCTGCCCCCCCCCCTCCCGGGCTGGTGCGGGCTGGGCTCATAACGGCCCTGTTTGTTTTGTCTGTAGAGCTCCGGCACCTGCTCCACTTGATGAATGACAAATAGCAACAGATGAGCAGAGCAAGGGAGGCTGAAAGCTTTGTCTGTGTTTGCAGCCCACGCAGGGAGAGCGGTTCCCCTGCCAACGGCCAGGTGGCTTTGCCCAAATATGGAGAAATACTTCAGGCCATTAGTTCTGGTTTGAACTAAGCAGAATAAACTAATCTCCCCTGCCCAAATGGGAATTAGCTGCCTGCCTCTCTGACGTCCACAGTCAAGGTCCTGTGAGCCTGCCTGCCTCACAAGTATCTGCTAATGGATTCATTAGCTGTTTCTTTCTCCTTCTCTAAAAATGTAATTTGTAGCAGGGGGAAATCTCTGAAAGTACACGGTGAATTATTAAAGCACTAATCTTTGGGTACTGGGGATTATGGGAGCTTTCCCACCCCTTTGGTCTCCCCCACACCCCATAACAGTTTCACATTGTATATCTACAGATTTTTATTTTATTTGTTTACAGAGAGGCCCACAAATGTTATTTTCTTCAAGACAGCATTTATCTACCTCTGAACTGAGCTCCCTCCATATTTATGAGTACTCTCAGGTCTTAGAGCCATGGCTGCCTTCCTAAATTAACCCTGGTCAATCTGGAGGCAGACAGGTCATGATCCCTTGCCACAGTGGTCATACATGGCCCTGATCCTCAGGCACCCACCATCATGTGACCTGGGGGCTTTGCTCTCCATCCTTTAGAAATTTCCTTAGTTTTCACTGCTAACAAACTCTAAGAAGCCAGACTCATGAAGCCACAGACACCTAGATCTAGAGATCTAGCATATTCTATCATTAGTTTGTTAACAGCAGTGACTTGGTCTTCAGTGAGGAGCCACCCTTTGTCTCCACTATGGAGTATTCATACTGCATCTGGGGCTGAGGACTGTGTGTACCCTGTGGGCTACCCTGGCTGGTCCTGGAATTCCCACCAATCACTGCTCTGCTGGGATCCTGATAGTCCCTCTATCAGAACGTCCTTAAAGACTTTGTTTCCCTATCTTGTCTCTTTGCCTTTGGCTCGTGTGAAAGAATAACAACCAGAAAAGATCATCAAGAACTCAGGAGAAAGCTGCCGAGCCAGCCAGGGGATGGTCTAACTCTGCCAGAATGAGCCAACTTCCTGGAGCCTTTCTCTGCCATGTTGAGGATTTGATACTTTCAATGTGTCTTCATTTTAATAGCTAAGGGTTCCCTTGAAGGCTTAGCATATGGATTCATGTATCACATGTGCAATCTTACCTACATACCGCAGTCAACCTACAACCTTAGCTTGTGCTCACCAGACTCTGGTCATTGAACATATATTAGCCAATGATGTTGTCCATAACTCCAAATTTGTGATTCAACCCACTCTGATGGTATGAGAGAACCTACTGTAGACCAACCCCTCCTCCTCAAGTCCTGCATGGAACAGATTGCCATACCTCCAAAGCCTGTCCTCCAATTCCTGTTGAGGTCCACGCCAATGCAGGAAATGCCCGGTTGACTTGACTTGTTTTTTCGCCACAAGCGATTCTGAGAAAGCCCAGGGCATACAGTCCCATTAACTGGGCCTGCTCCGATAGCTGGGATAGCTGATATCCTGGCCCATGAAAGGGGAGAGGGTCTAGTGGGGCAGGAAGGAGCAAAGGGAAGGAGCCTCCAGGGACAGGTTGGGCTGACATGGTGCTGGGCCAGACTGTACAGCCTGCTCTTCTGTGGTTTTTGTGAGGGCTTAGGGAGAAATCTAATTATATGCCGCCAATGGAAGTTTCCTTGGGCAGTGGGCAGGTTGTTGGAAAAGATGGTTTTATTACCCCAGCAGCCTCTTTTTGTCAGGCAGGCTCTCTGTAGAAAGCCTCTGAAGAAGCTAGATCCAGAGGCCACCATGACATTTCCCTGCCCCAACATACACTCCAGGTGACCACTATTGGGGATTCCCAACTGCCCTTACCATGCTGTGGGTAAAAGCAAAGCCATCAGGGTTGGTGATAATGTCAATGAAAATGTCCATTGCATTCAATATTTTTTTCAAGAGATGGTCTTTGGCATACGAACTGGCAATCTGCAAGAGAGGGTGACAGTAGGAGATTCTTTCCAGGTGTTTCTTGGAGGTACGGCAGGACCCTTACACAGCAAGAGGTGGCATTGGGTCATCAAATATATCCAGATAGAACCAAAAGCTTTAGTTTTAAACAGCTAGGAACCGCCGGGCATTGGTGGCGCATGCCTTTAATCCCAGCACTCGGGAGGCAGAGGCAGGCGGATCTCTGTGAGTTCGAGGCCAGCCTGGTCTCCAGAGCGAGTGCCAGGATAGGCTCCAAAGCTACACAGAGAAACCCTGTCTCGGGAAAAAAAAAAAATAGCTAGGAACCAGAGAATAGCCATACTCCCCAACTGTAAAAGGCCAGAACACATGATAATGTTCCAAAGGGCAGGAGGGACAGAGAATTTAAAGAAATTGAGTCAAACTTTTCAACTAGCATCCCTTTAAATACCCAAGAATGCCCTGCCCCTGGTCCCAGTTCCTTGATGCTATTCTCCAGTTACCAGTCCCAGCTGACCTTATTCGAGATCCAGATGCCGGTGGCGTGGGTGATCCACTCTCGGGAATGGATCCCAGTGTCAATCCAGACGGCCTGGCGATTTGAACCTCCAGTGCTGAACTGGGGAAAAGAATCAGACCACAGAGTTTGACCAAGACAGCCATGGTGCCGCCCCTCAAGATGCAACCTCACTGTCTAGAATGAATCCGTATGCCAAAGCACTCAACCTGAGACAAGGAGGACATGCCAGCCCACACACACATACCTGTGATGTAGGAACACATGTCTTTGCCTTACATGCTTTGGCTGGCCAAGCTACCCAAAATGGAACACAGAATTTCCCAAGACTGAAAGCACCTTAAGACTTGTCCCTCTCAGACTTCATTGGGCACAGGTTCTCATGGCAATCTTAACTAATATACAGGTCTAGGGAGGCCTGTAAAGTTTGCGTTTCTAATACCTGTGCTTCCAGGTGATGAGGGGCCAGATGATCAAAGCCACACTTGGAGGAGCAATGTCCTCTAAGAGAGAGACTGTGGCAACGTCTGATTCGAGATTAAAGCAGATGCAAGTTAAGTCAAGGCAAAGTTAGGCAAGGTCATGTGACTGCTCAGAAGCCCCTACCAGAGCCCCATGAATACCTCAGGGCCTAGCCTCCTTGACAACTGATGTTGAGCACCGAATATGGTTCACTAGAACACAGGCTGGAACACAGGCTATGGGCTGCCCACCCGGCTTCCATCATGACCAAGGGCACTGCAGTTTGCTCAAGCTGTATTCAGGGCCCCCCGTGAAGGACTGGATGGTTTCTCAAGAGCTGCAGGCCTAAGCTGGATGACCTTGGTCATTACCAAATGAACCCTATGTGCACCTCAGTTCTCACTTAGCAGGTGAAGCAAGTTTGGCAACAGGAAGGACACTGACTCAAACACCCTCACCCGGAGCTGAGGTGATAAGTGCCACTCCACAGCCCTGGCTCTTTAGCAACCTTCCTTCCCCCAGGTCCCTGCACTGCCACCCTCCATACCCACAGAGGTTGAGTCCCTGATTAGACAAAGCTCATGGATCTGTGGTATAGTATATGACTTTCTTTCCTATCCAGAAACTCCCACCCAGTCACTTACTCGTGAGCCCACTCTTATGATAAAAAAGATGCTCACCATCTGGTTTACTGCCTGATGCAGTGGGCTCTTACCTTCAGGACAAGAATGGACCGGTTTTCAAAGCTGTTGCCAATGTGAATTTTGGAGACAAGATTAGAATGTTCAGCTACAAAGTTGTCCATCCAATTATATATCTGAAAGCAATGAAGTCTATCAGACTGGCAGTTAAAGGGGGAAGGGGTGAGTTCCAAGCCCGTCAATGAATATTGTTCATCCATCCCACCCTCTTTATTGCTTTCCTGCTTCAGCCTGGGAGCCTAAAAGAATGCGGATCAAGAATTCCAAGCCCTAAGGATACCCTCAGAGCTAAAGGACATTGGGTTGTGGCCTGGCTAGAATGCCAGGCTTCCCATGCACATACAGAGCTACACTTCCACCTGAGAGAACACATGTACTGAGCCCACTCAAATCCTAGGCACGAGCTGCCTGGAGTAGCATGTCTGTAATCCCAGCCCTTGAGCGGCAGAGAGAGGAGGATCAGCAATTCAAGCTAGCCTGGGCTATGGAGGAATACCCTGTCTAAAAATAAATAAATAAATAAATAACAAAAATAAATTCCTAGACATGGCCTGCATGGCTCTCTCTGTCGAAAATTCATTCTCTTGCCTTCACCCTATAGTCGGTTTTATCTATCCGACAGATCTCATAAGCTGGGGAGTGCTGTTTTATGTATTTTTCACTCCTTCTAGACTCGGCAGCTTGGAGGGAAGGGTAGAATTTTATTTATTGTTGACATCAATAACAGTGACAGTCTATATTAGTTCATTTTCTTGTCCTTCCAGAACATTTCAATGAATAAACATTAGAAACAAAATGCATTCCCCATTACAGGTCTTAGGAAATGAGAAGGGTGATGGAGGAGACATGTCATGTCCTGTACAGGCAAATGAGACCTGTGCTTTGAGTTTCTTTCTGGAGTGGAAGTTCCTGTTCCCTCTTGTGTGTTCTCCCTTAAACACAGTGATCATTGCTAAAGTCTGTCCTGGCTGGCTGTCACTGTGATCATACTTTTTCTCCAAACACAAACAACTGCTTGTTTCTACAAGCACAGTTTCCCAGTATGTCTGGATCGCTGCCCCTCAGACCTCAAGAATCCACAGTTGGGGCCTCGGAACACCAGGACTGGTCACAAGGAGGTCAATGAATCACTGGTCAGGGGATGGGATATGGAGGCAGCCTCCACCTACTCTGTTGTGTGCTGTCATGGGTCCACACCTTAGTGTGCCAACTGAAGAACCATTCCCTAGGCTCTGAGCCTGCCTAGAAGTACTTCTGAGCTGTAGTCCTTGCTATTTGACTCTGGACCCTTTAGGCTGCTGTCCGCCAAACATCCCTTTACCTAACGTATTTTCTCTGTGCCCCCAGAGGTCTCTCAGAGTCTCAGACTCCTCCTCTGGTCTCTGCCTGATCCTGGATATCCCAAGGGGTCCAGGAGCCTTAGAGTCTGGAACTTGCCCAGGTGGACCTACCTCGTCCAGAGTGTGATAAGAAGAATAGCTGAAGCTACTGGAGCTGCGCTCCAGCCTTCGGGACTTTGCCATGGCATCTCTCTCTTCATCCAGCAGCACCTAGCACATAGGAAGACACACTGGAAAGGCAGAAGAGGGCTCAAGTTGCAGAGCCACAGCATGGACACGGGAATGAACCGCCATGCATCAGAAGGGCGTATGTAAGGTTTTAGAGTGATCCTCCGTGTATCAGTATCCATGCTATCTTTGCCCAATCGAGCATAGGACGAGTCGTTCTGAAGAGACTCTTAAGTGTCTCTGCTCCCAACTTCCTGTGGTACTTGCTCTAGCCTTAGTTTCCTCAGCTGAAGAACTAGGACAACAGTCTGGGGCTGAGCTGCCTCACAGGATAAAAGGTAGTAATAGGGATGAAGGTATATTAACAGAGATGCTCGTAGGTTCCTGCTGGTGTTGCTTTTGTACTTTGTAACATTGGACCGTGGACACTGACCACCCTGGGGGCGGGGAGGGGGAGAATGACTGCTCTGACTTCCAACATCAACTCTTCTTCCAGGAAGTAGTCTAGACCACTGGTATCCAAGCCATTCAGAAAGCCAGCTGTGGACAAAGCCAGCCGTGGACAAAGCCAGCCCAAATCATGATGAATGTGTCATTATTCTCACTCCCCATGTTAACTGCTTGCCAGACACAGCACACATGGGCCAGAAGCAAAGTCCTGGAGTGCTGGTTTGCTGTTGACATTCAACCTTTGTGTAATGCTTCCCACTGATCATAGGAGCAGAGGGCAGTCAAGTGCCTAGGCTGACTATTGACAGCTCAGACTACCCACGGCTGAAATCATGGCTGGGACACTGTGCCCAGCTTAGGTAAAAGTGTGATAGGCAGGTCCTGACCTAAGGCACCCCAGGACTAACAGTGATTGTTCAGTGTGGGAAGTGCCCAAGGCCTTCTGCCTAGAGACATCAGCCAGCATCCTCCTTGACCCAGAGGGACCTCCTTAAGCTCTGGGTCACAGTTTGGTTTGGACATTGCCTTATTTGGTGACCGATGCCTTTTGGTCTATGAAGTATCCTTATCCTCTGTTCTCTCTCTCCCTTGATCTAGTCAGATGACCAGATTCCAGAGAAGGAATTACTCAGGGTTGGGGTGTTTTAGAGATAAAACAGATTGGAGAGGTGACAGCTCTTCAATGCAAAGCTGAGATGAGATGAAAACCAGGTCTTCTAGTCTCCAGCATTGGATTCCTCAAGCCAAGCTACCAAAAACTAATGACTAACGCTAACAACATATACACACAGATATGCATATTTGTGTGTATATAAATAAATTAGATAAAGAGAGGAAACAGAAGTATGCAAAATGTTAACAGCTGAAAACTCCATCATATTATTCTCGCAATTAAAAAGTTTCTTTTCAAGTAATGAAAAACCAAGTGCCCTCAAGCACAGGAAAACAAGACATTAAAATGCCAAAAATAAATATAGCAAAATGCTAATGGTGCCTGTTCAAATAAGATTAGAATTTTGAACATTTTTCCCCATACTCTCTTTTCACATTTTGGCAACAGGCTTATACTACTTCAGTGAGCAAGGATTTTTAAGTGAATAAATAATACCAGAACCAAAGCCTTAATAGCTAAAGTGTAGTTCCGGTCGCAAAGTCTTCAGTCCCCAGAGCTGGGGCAGAGAGATGGGACCCCACCCACCGCTATGCATGAGGCTACTTGCCCAAAGGCTCATTCTTCCCCAAGGGCCCAATCCACTTGCTCACCACCCTCACACTCACAGATTATAGATTTTAAAATGGGACTGGAAATCAATGTCCAGGACTTTTATGACTTATTGTCTCAGCACCAACTACATGTTCAGTAATTACAATTGTCATGTTTCTAGCTAGGCTGGCCCAGCTTAGGGCTTCCCATTTCTGCAAACCTAGAATGAGTGGATAAGTCAGACATGGCTGGAGGAGACCTTGTCCTTGTGGGCCACTCACAAACACCACCCTGGGAAAGCTCTCACAGAAGGAATGTGTCTTCTTCCCAGGAAATCCACCCAAATCACAGCAGCCCACCATGACCAATGTATGTGTGTCACTGAGGGCTGCTACACCAGCTGTTGTGAACAGCTGTGAGAAGATTGACAACTGGGTCCAGGCAGGCCTGGTCTTTCTCTACACCCACCAGAATGAAGCTACAGACCTGGAGCTCTAATGTCGTATAGTGTAGCAGGGCCTGAGTTGAGGCTGCATGGTAGGGAACTTGGGAAGAAAGTCCTAACCACCTAGTTCTTCCAGCATGGCTGGGACACCAGTAGGAAACAGCCTTGAGGAATCCAACCTTGGTTCCACAAATCAGGTTGGAGGCAAATAGGAGGCTGACACCAAACTGCAAATGTCTTTCCAAACACCCTCCCAGCCCCATGAATCGATAGGACACCCTCCTAGGAGCTGGAAACCCTCAGCCCTTACAGCTAGACCTCAATTCCAGGAACATTAATCTACCCTGGCTTGAAAACTCACTAATGTCTGCTCCCTTGTGGGTGGGGGGGGGGCAGTGTGAGGGAAGAGGCTGAGAGCTGAGAAGGAAGCTTTGTGTGGATTCAGCGTGTCCAAAAACCCCATCACGCTCCTCAGCGGGAAGAGCTAGAATGAGAAGCTCAGAAGTCAGCCGGTTGCCCTCCCTGGAAGGCAGGAGACAGTAAGAATGAATGTGAATTCATTCATTACAGGGATAAGGAAGAATGAGGCCTCAAGCAAAACAACAACAACAAAATAGAACCCCCGTGGTGAGGGAAAGAGCAGCCCCAGGACCCCAAAGGCAGAGCTGAGGCCTGAAGAATGCCAGTCTCCACACAGGCCACAGGCTGGCCGCTCTCTCCGTCTGCAGACCTCCACAGACACAGCTCTCGGTGGGGAGTTTTGTGCTTCCTGCACAGTTCTCTTGGATTCTCTCTGGCTCTCTTCTCTAGGCCTAATGTGTACTAGGTAAGCACCATATATGGGAGGGGCTACAGACCTGACATTGTGAAGATGGAGCCCCTCCACAGCTAAGGCTGAACCCTTGGGCAGTGAAACCCAAGTTAAAACACCACACACAAGCAACCATCTTGACTGACTGCCGAGGTAACAGATGGTATGAAACACAGGGTGGTCCCCTAGTCAGGTTGTCTCAGATGAGACACTAATATTGTCACTAATTTGGGCTCTGGCTCAGTTTCCCCTCGTACAATGAGGGTTTGTTTGTTTTTTGATTTTCAGAATATGAAAATTTATTACTGTGTTTCCACTGTCAAAATGTAGGATCTTGGTCTTTCCTTCTTGCCTTTGCACAGGGCCAAAAGGGACACATTGGCTACTTTAAGAGGACTCCAGAATTATCACCGACAGCATGACCTTTTGACCAAATCCAACAACCAGAACTTCATCATGTTCCTCAATGAAGTTCAAGCAGCCATCACTGGGCATCAAAGTTGTGATCTTCTTGGCATTCTTGGTGCACCCGACACACTTCCAGATAGCAGAATTTGGCTGTTTGGCTTCAACCTTTACTTTTTTCCAGCACAATTCCCTTCGCATGAGAAGCACCTCCAAAAGGATTGGCCTTCAGGGCTGTGCCCAAGTGGGCTTTCTTGTATTGTTTATCATGGCACTTCTGGCCCAGTCGGTGACTGTGGAGCTTCCTGGCAGTATGGAGACCAGACACTTGCCCATCTTGCCAACGCCATGGGCCCGGGGGGAAAAAAGGGAGGGTTGTTTTATCATACACTTTAGCACATACTTTAAAGAGCTGTCAGCCTGCTGGTGATGGCGCACACCTTTAATCCCAACACTCTCGGGAGGCAGAGGCAGGCAGCAGATCTCTGTGAGTTTGAGACCAGCCTGGTCTACAAGAGCTAGTTCCAGAACAGCCTCCAAAGCCACAGAGAAAACCCTGTCTCAAAAAAACCAACCACCCCCCAAAAGGAGGGGGGGCTGTCATAAGGCTCACCCTGGCACACGGTAAATACTAGCTGACTTTAGTTATGAGGGGGAGGGTAATGACCATGACAGGGGCTGGGGAAGTAGGAGAGGGGACAGGTGTTATTTAAAGAGGGATGAAAGCCTACACAGGGGCAAGATTTTGAAAGCAGTGCACAAATAAGCCATGCATACCTGGTGGAACAACATTCCAGGGATGACACCAGCAGGTTCAAAGGTCTTGAGAGGCAAATATAGCTAAGGGCCCCGAGGCAGGAATGTATCAGGCAAGTTCTAGGAGTGTCAAAGAAGACACAGAGCACAGACAGCAAGGATGACATGGGGCCGTGGGTGGCTCACTGGGAGCCTTGGCCTTTTCAAGAACTTGGCATTTATTTTGAGTTGGAAAGAAGCCCTTTGAGAGCTTCCCTGTCTGTATTCCTTCCTTCCTTCTTGTATTTATTTGTTTACTTACTTATTTAAGACACAGTCTTACCATATAGCCAGCGTGGAACTTTACATCCTCTTAGCTCCATCCTCAGAGAGGTGGATGCCCAGCCCCAACTGGGGAGTGTCAATTAGGGCATGAACATAATTGGATTTATATATTTTGTAAACAGCTCACCTGGCTGCTGCCTTGAAAATGGATCTTAGGGAAGCAAGAATAATGTTGGGAGAAGAGTTAGACAGTTCCCGGAACACAGCCTGGCACACCTATGATCCCAATTCTCTTGGAGGCTGAGGCAGAAGGATCTTGAATTTTATCGAGACCTTTTGTGAGACAACTGCTGAAACGGCCCCCAACGATAGTTATGCTGACCCACAGTGGTAATTTGGGATGTATCAGAAGTATTTGAAGAAGGAACCTGCAGCATCTTTGAGTAGGCTGGATAGAGGGCTGGAGAAGGGGTCCAAAATGACTTAGGAGATTCCTGAGCTCCCAGAGGCTCTGAAGGAGCAGATGGGGCCTTTGGATGTTCCCATTGTACCCGGGACTAGCACAGAGTCCTAGGAGGCCAGAGGAGAGATAGAGCTGACCTGCACCAGGGGAGGATGTACAGCTAGAGCAGGAGTGGACTGAGGGTCCCTGGGCCTTTGTTCAGGACACTTTGGGTAAAGTGAGGAACAGACAGCCTGCCAAACAAATAAAATCAGTGTTTCTAGTTTTGTTCTAGAAGGAAGCCGAGAAATAGGCAGTAGCTAGAGGGGATCAGGACACCCCCACATACACACACACACACACACACACACACACACACACACACTCACACTCACACTCCCCCACACCCCCACACCCCGCCCAGCTCAATAGCTGCCTATTTGTATGCTGATGTGGGCAAGTCCACAGAGAGGGAAGCTGGCGAAGCAGTATTTATACTGAATTGCATTTCTCTCTGGATGGTCAGAGCATGGGTGATTTTTGTTTTCTTCTTGTGCTTTTCCCCTGTTTTCCAAATTATCTAACATGAATATTTATTAATTTTGTAATCAGAAAAAAGCCATTAAAATCCGAAGCGCTGATTGCTCAAGTGAAGCCTTTTGGTGGTGACTCATCCCAGGGAGAGAGAAAAAAAACACTGAAGGACTGAAAAGAACGAAGAGGTGAAGAAAAATTAAATGCAAATCAAGCATCCTCGGAATCAGATAATTTCTTGCCTGGCCCACAGCAATTTCCCCACCAACTCCTGCCTGTCAGTCTCCGGGGCCCTGTCTCCAGCTCAATACAGCCTGGATAAGAGTAGCTTTTCTGAAATGCAAATCTGGTGGTGTAAAAGACCCTCTTAGGTCTCCCCTTCTATCCACGGTTTGGGTGATAACCCTTCCCACTTCACAGTCTGGTCCCATCATCAAATCAGGGTGGGGGGCCTCCTTCCCCTGCAGCTCCCCTTCTGAGCTCCTCAGCCACACACACACACACACACACACACACACACACACATGCACACGGGTAATTACTGCTTCACAGCGCCAGTGACGTGCAATGCCTGTGGTATTCGCTCCCATAGCAACCTGTGCACACTCTGTCAGGGCACTCACCCACTCCACTGTAACCACCCATTTACTCCCTTCCCCCATACCCCCACTCTCTCCAGCTCCTCTTGGACACAGTCCTGAGTTTGGTGGGTTTGTTTTTGTTTTCAGTCCCTGTGCTTCCAAGCACCTTGTCCAACACTCAGCACACAGTAGGCATGCTGTCTTTCTAAGCGCTCCCTGGTCCCCTCCTCAAAAGTCTTCCCAGCCTCTGGATAAAAATCAAAACCACCAGCAAAGTTTTCCATGATCGGCTGTGCCTGGCCCGAACTGCCAAATACACCTCCTTTTTCTTTGCCTTCTCATATATATTGATCCAGCTAGCTCTTATTAAGGCCTAACCAAGACTGGGGGTACACAGATCGATAAGAGAAATGCAGCTGAATGTGGCGGAGACCAATATACAAATAAGGGTCCCCTCCACGACAGTCCTAGACCCACTGATATCACTTAAGCTACCATATTGAAGCTCACTCTGCTAGGACCAGAGCTGAGCCTGTGCGTCAGTACCTCAAATAAGCTTGTTCCATATCAATCTAAGTGTGCAAATCCCTTCTAGTCCTGTCAGTACTTCTGAGCCTCTGGCCTTCACCCCTCCCCCCCCTGTCACCACAAATCAACCAGGAACAACAGCCTCTCCCCACCCCTGGCGCCCTCAAAGCCACAGAGTGACCTCAAGGACGACAGTCCGAGCTTGATGCTTTGCAGACTGAAGGTTGGAAATTCTGATTGCAAAGGTTAGAGAGAGAGTTCAGGACATTTTCCTAGGAAGGGGGTCCCATGGGAGTTCAGGCTTGGGGACTTCAGGAGAGGATATCTCTAGAGGGGCTGGTGAGGGGAACTCAGGGGTGACCCAGGGGCTGTCCCTGACATGCAGAAATCATCAAAGTCTTTTGAGGCTCCTGAGTGTCTGTTTGCCAAAGGCGCCTGGGTTCCCAGGGCTGGTGCAGCAGAAGCAGGGAAATGGGAACTTCAAAATAGAGGCATGGGCTAAAAATGAGAACACAGTCCTGTCCTTTTGATGTGGTGGCCTCTTTTGTCTGTGTGAGTTTCCCCATTTTTGTTTGTGGGGGATTTAATTAGAGAAACATCCCACCCCCACATGTTGAGCGGGAAACAGATGTGTCTGGTGAGGGATAAAGGACTTTGAATGGACCCAGTGCCCCAGCCCTATGCTGGCCTGGGAAAGGAATGCTGCCTAATGCCTTGATCCCTAGGCATGCGGTGTCAAGTGTGTGCACGCTGGGAGGCTCCGTGTTCCCACACTCTAAGCCTTTAGAGGAGATTAGTGCTGCAGTGTGGTTAGGAATGAATCTCTGTGGATACAATTCTGCAGGTACATAGGCAACAACAGAATCTTCACAAGGATGGTACAGCCTGGAAGGCTTAACATCCCAGTGGTGCCCAAGGACCTGTTATGGGAGGATGCTGTACTGCCTATACCCCCTCCGCATATGTGCAGGCAGTACACAAGAGGGCCAGAGTCCTCCTCAATCTCTCTCCACCTTATTTTTTGAGACAAGGTTTCTCACTGAACTCCTTGTTCTCTGATTCAGCTAGACTGGCTAGCCAGAGCCCCCCAGGATCTTCCTGTCTCTGCCTTGCAGGCACTGGGCTTGATATGGGTGCTGGAAATCCCACCCAGGTCCTCATGCTGCAGTGACAAGCACGTCACCAACTGAGCCATCTCCCCAGACCCATCCTTGAACACAGGGCAGATGAAATCCATATTCATGATGCTTAGAAAAGACGTGGGGGCCAGGTGGTGGTGGCCACACCTTTAAGCCCAGCACTCAGCAGGAGGCAGAGGCAGGCAGGTTCTCTGAGTTCAAGGCCAGCCTGGTCTACAGAGTGAGTTCCAGGACAGCCAAGGCTACACTGAGAAACCCTGTCTCGGGGGGTGGGGCGGGGAGTAAAAGAAAAAAGAAGACAGTGGAAGGTGTGGAATCAAGTGGAGACAGGAAGTTTGGAAACTTCAGATGTCATTCTGGGTAGGGTCTGCCATACTCCTCACACGATGGACCGGAATAATCCTGCCTGAGGGAGACGTTCAGAGTGCATTAGGTATGGAAGGGAGGCAAGGCATAGCAGGGTCTCACTGGGCCTCTTTCCCCCATAGGATCCCTCTGGTACGGTATGTCTGAGACCTAACAGAGGACAAGAGGATGCCATTGGAGGGGCCTAGGTAGGATATCACCGTTCCCTTCTGTCTCCATTTCCCCTTATACTTTGATGGTATTTACAAAGTCTTCCAGAAGAGGGTTCATCCACAGTTGCCACACTCTGAGCTCTCCTTGCCTCCATGAAGGAAGGAACTCTAACCCAGCGTTAAAAATAAAATGTGAATTGTTATACTTTATTTAGTTTGTTTGGGTTTTGCGTGTGTGCATATGTGTGTCCATATTTGTTTACTTTTTGTTTTGAGGCAGCCTATCAGGTACCCTAGGTTGGTCTTGAACTCACTATATAGCTCAAGATGACTTTGAACTTAGGATCCTCCTGCCTTTAACTCCCAAGCACTGGGATTACACACGTATGTCACTATACCCAGTTTTATGTCTAGTTCTATGCAGAGCTGATCACTGAGCTCAGGGCCTCATGCAAGCCAGGCAAATATTCTACCATCTGAGCTACATCCCCAAGCCCAGAAATGTTCAATTAAATTTCTTTCATAATTATGTCCACAAATATGCCGCTGGATATCCAAAAGCAAGGTGTCTACACTTGGCCTGAGGAGTTTTTGTTTTGTTTTGGCTTGGTTTGGTTTATTTCTCCGTGCTGTGAACCAAGTGAAAGGAATGTGGAAGGACCTTACCTGGATGTCCTTTATCATGACACTGTAACGAAGGCCATGAGACTTCAGATAATCTTTGACATCTTTTAGTTCAGAGAAGGGAACTCTCATGTCCACAGGGAGGCTAGGTCTGGCTGGACCACGCCAGAAGTCCACCTTGTTAACCAAAAACAGAGAGAGACAGGGAGAGAGAGACACAGAGAGAGAGAGAGAGAGAGAGAGAGAGAGAGAGAGAGAGAGAGACAGAGACAGAGACAGAGAGACAGAGACAGAGACAGAGACAGAAAGAGGAAGAGGAGGGGAGGGGAAGGGAGGAGAGGAGAGGGGAGGAGAGGAGAGGAGAAGAGAAGGGAAGGGAAGGGAAGAGAAGAGAAGAGAAGAGAAGAGAAGAGAAGAGAAGAGAAAAGAAGAGAAGAGAAGAGAAGAGAAGAGAAGAGAAGAGAAATAAGCTGTGTTTATCACCTGTCCTTACATACCCACCCGGTAGGCATCCTTGGTGGGGCTAAGTTTCTTATATACTTCAAAGGGACCCAGTTCCATAAAGGAAATCCTAGGGTATGCAGAGAGGAATAAATCCTCACTTCACCAAGCTCCTTTCCCCATTTCCTGGTTATCTTTTTTTTTTTTTAAGCAAAGAGTCTTTTATCATTTAATGAGTTAACTGTTTTTTTATTTTATTTATTTGTTATGTATACATTGTTTCTGCCTGAATACTAGAAGAAGACACCAGATCTCATTATAGATGGTTGTGAGCCATCATGTGGGTACTGGTTCTTGAACTCAGGACCTCGGGAAGAGGAGCCAATGCTCTTAATTTCTGAGCCATCTCTCCAGCCCTTCATGGTTATCTCTACAGCCTTGCCTGGCTCATTGCTACTTCACCTGGATCCACAGAGCCCTAGAGCTCCTACAAGTGAGACTGTCATCACCTGGGACATTAGCCTGGACAGGAACCCCTGGGAAGCAGAAGAGGCACAGCTGGAGTCCACGCCCTATGCCTACCTATAAATTTGTAAAATGGAGGCACTGGGAGTGTTAGAATCCCTCATTGATAGGGAAATTCCTACAAACAGCAGCAAGAGCTTTGGGCCACATCCAGAAAAAGCTGGTTGTTTTACAAGACCTCAAACAAAAGCCCTCTATTATAATTGTCAAAGAAAATGTTTTCCATTGTGAAAACTTGTAGAGGACAAATGTTCTTGGAAACAGATACCCAGGCTGACAGACACAGACCCAAATATAACACGTTTGCCAAGCGAAGTCATTCCAATTGGAAGGCAGATGTGAGCAACCCTATGCTATGTGGCCCGGCAGCAGGGACATCTGTGCCTTCCTATGACTTTAGGACATTGCAGCTGTCTGCAGAGCATGCTCATCACTCCCCCATCCACGACAGAGGAAACAGCTAAAGGAATCACAGCTTGCAAAGGCCACCCAACTTTATAAGGACATGGCCCTAACATGTGGCAGGGAAGCCAGCCACACTGGGCTTGTCCACAATCTAGTGAACATTTTTGGGGGGGTGGGGGTGGGAGGGATTCGAACCTGTCCTGGAACTCACTCTGTAGACCAGGCTAGTCTCAAACTCACAGAGATCTGCCTGCGTCTGTCTCCCGATGCTGGATTAAAGGTGTGTGCCACCACCACCCAGCTCTAGTGAACATTTTTGAGACCTCAGGAAGGTTTGAGGTTGGAAAGAGTAGAGAGACAGACAAGGAGCCCAGGTAGACAGTGACAAGGCAATCCTCACCTTCTGGGGCTTCAGGCCCTCCAGATCCCTGAGAAGTGTCAGCTGCTTCTCATCTTTGGCCAGGATTCGAAGAACCTGGTCCTTGGGAAAACATGGTGAGAAAGCTGTTGTGGCACCCTGGAATGAATGCTAGGTCAGTGGAAAGAGGTAGTACGGAGAAGAGGGAGACCTGGCATCATCTACCCTCCCACACAGAGCAAACGGGATGAAGAGGTGGGAGGGGGAGATTCAAAGGCTCTGGGGAGCCCAGGGTAGCACCATGTGCTGAACCCCGTGGAGGGGAAACCAGACAAGCCAGGCCTCTCCTGGCAGAGAAGCTATATGCTCCTTTCCTTCCACCTGGGTAGGCCAGAGGACAGTGAGGAGCTAGAGTCCCACATCGTGAGCTCCAGGGTCTGAGATGGGATGGTTCCGGGACCCGGGAAGTGACCCCTCATTAAGCTCTCTCTCTTTCTTACTGTACAGTCCGTAGATCAATCTTCCGGGACATTGGGAGCCTGGGGTGTGCACTTGAGCTTGCTGCTATTCGAAGGATAACAGCGCATCTACTTTTGATATGAGTGTATATGCTGATGAAGGTTAACAATTTCTTCAAGAATTTGAGGAAAAATATAAACCTTCAGCCCTCAAGAACGTGTATAAAATCTGTTGTGTGTGACTTTAGAAGTTTTTAAAGTTCTCACTGATGTATATTAATTGCACTTAATAATGGGTTTCGTTACGACCTTTTCGTGCATGGATTCACTCAATTTTGATCCTACTCTCTTCCCATTGTCCTCTCTCGTCCCCTCTCACTTCTTCTGATCTCTTCCCTCTTCCCAATGAGTCTCAATTTTAAGGGATCCTCTCAGAATCCCGAAAACTTAACCCTGAGCTTCAGATTTAGAAGTCTGTATTTGGAGAGGGTTAACAACATAGCCAAAGCATCTCTCTGCCCTGGAGTATGAGTGACAGAGCACGGAATCTGAACCCCTTCTAGATGAGAGCTGAAACTTTTGTATGGTCTCACCCAGGAGTACACAGAGACACATACACACTCACACACACACACACACACACACACACACACACAC